GCGGTACGCAAGCCTCGATCTTCTGTTTATCTGCTTGCTTATTGTTGCATTCTGTTTATATTCTGTAAAATATTTATTTGCATTTATTATTAGCATACATAAGTTTATCACAGATTGTTGACATATATCCAATAGTAGCTACCTACCCATAGTTTTTCATGGACCAACCGGGTCTAGATGAACAAGACTGCAAGTCTGAAACTACATATGCAAAATTGAGAACTGCTCATGTGCAAGTTTCAATTGAAGATAAACAGACAAACAAACGAAATATAATTATTATTTATGAACATTATATTATTAAACAAGAATAACTACATCTTAACTGACTTATTTCATAATACGCTATAAGCTAAACATATAGAGAGCAAAACGATTAAGAAACCATAATTCGAATGGACTAGGCTAAATCTTAAACTAACAAACAAACCCAAATAATTAAAATAACCAAAAAATACTACTATTTTTCAACAACCCTTGGTCAAACTCATGACAATACACAGACATGAGTTTGCAAATAAGCAAATGCGTACTGGCTCAATAAGTCTAACAAGTAGATAGACGAACTTGAATTACTTTAACGTTACTTAACTTGACTTGACTGGCAAACTGGCGAAAACTAATGGTGAGTTCAGCATATCTGGTCAGGCGGGCCTGAAGGGCATTGAACCATGCGAGTTTTAGGCGGAGAAGATGGGGTGCGGCAGATCTGGATAGATGAACTTGTATTAATTATAAACATTATATTATTAAACGAGATTGTCGAGATGACTACAACCGAATGACTACATCTTAATTGACTTATTTCATACTAAACTATAAGTTACATTATAGAGAGCAAAATTTAAGAAACTCTAATTCATATGGGCTAGGCCCAAATAGTAAACTAACAAGCAAACCCATATATATATATATATATATAATAACCATAAAATACTAATATTTTTCAAATGTTTCCAGGATGGTGTTATGATTGGAATTCCTTGTTATTTTAATTTTCAACATACCTCTACTGTCAAAATTGGTCCTGCTTCTTGTCTAAAAAGTGATGATTGTTTAATGTTTACACAAATAAGCCATTTTTATTGCCAAACAAATCATAGTTGAATATGTGAACATAATTTATGTGTTTTTAATAAGTTATTCTTGTATAATGTGATCTGTAAGTAAAAAGATATATTGCTCACAAGAAGTACTGTTAGTCAATATTTTACAGAGGATGAGGTGACTAGCTACATTGACACGAGTTTAGATTTGTTGTGTCCAAATACTCTATGCCTAGCTTATGACCACGTTCTCCTTGCGACACTTTTCTTTATAGATAACCTTAAGATAACATCATTAGATTTTAGGCAAGAAGAACGGAATGTTAAAAGGACATTTGTCAAAAGAAGAACATGATCACAAGCTGGACAAAGGGTATTTGTGTGCGACATATGTGGACTCCATCGACATAGTGTAAAACCGAAAGAAGACTAGACCAGGACGTGAGAACCTTGTGCGGGACAAGGACACAGCCTTGATTTACTGTTTGTTCATCATTAGGCCCGGGGAGGATTTCTCTCTTTCCATGTTTCTTCAATTCGTTAGGGTGTATTTTAAACGTGAGATAAAAATAAAACTAAGAATAGAATCCAAACTTTTTTATGTTTAGTGTAGCAGAAGTTTCCTTTTGAACTTTATATCTAAAAATTCTCTGCTAAGATTTGAATGGAATGACCTTTCCAGTAAAACATATCTTTAAGTCACATGCATTATTCCTTTCGAGTCATACAAGGAACCTTCTATTGGAGATTAAAGGAGTTCTTGTTTTTCATGGTTAAATTATTCCTTAGATAAGAAATTGTTTAAGTCCTTCATTGGATTAAGGCATATAAAAGAAACAAATTGAGCTAATTCCCCACTCAATGCAAAACCGCTCAATTAGAAGTCAATATCATTTTTTGTCTACTACCAATACCTGCTGCTGTTAGAGAAGGGGTCTTGCCAAAGAAAATCATATCTCTTTAAGTTTAGGAATGAATATTGTAAGCGGATTTTGATTGTATTCCTAATTTGTAGAGATCTTTACTTGTGCGCCAAATACACACGATTGTATGTATAAGCTTTTGTGCTATGAATGTAATTAACATTATTATAATTCATACATGGTATCAGAGCATTTATAGTGGCTCGCTCACACAACCAATCATCTAACCTATTTCCAAGTCTATAAGGCTCAAAGATTATTGAGGTTTTGACACTATATTCAAACTTTCATAGAACACTAATAGTAGTTCTATGAAAGAATTCCATGGTCCCTTTCATAATACATGAAGATATTTAAGCAGATATAAACATAAACTTATTTAGATGAAGCCGAAACCTGTGTGAAATATGTTGTGGATAATTACAGTTTTTTTTATTTATTTTTTATTTTTTTATTATCAATGTCCAGAGTTTACGGTGAGTCTAGAAAGAATTTATATTTAAATTGTTTAACGGAGTGTAGAGAGAAATATGATGAATTTAGTTAAGATGCGGTGTTTAAATAAAAAGCCTATTAACAAACTAAGCTAGAAATTCCTTGCCAATATAAATCTTAAAGCTCACCATTTGTCCTTTTCGTTTGAAAGTGTCACTTTTACTGTATACAGTACACAGATTTGGAGACGTGTTGCTGCATCACATGGAGGATTCATCCAACAAAAGATCTACAGTGCAATACAAAGAATTCATCACGTTTTAGTAAAGTTGAATAGTAATTCCTCTGAGTGAAACAAAGCAAAAGTAATGTGCCAAGAAAAAGAATTCAACAAGGTTTTGGTAAAGTCGAATAGTAATTCGTGTAAGTGAAACAAAGCAAAATTGATGTGCCAACAAAAAGAATTCAACATGTAGTTCCTCTAATGTCCAAGCATTTTTCACTTTCCATGTGCATTGGCGGTGAAAAGAAGCAGACGTGAACGCCGAATTGGGATAATGTGCCAAAGCCGAAGTGTTGAGCAAAGGGATATATTTTGTGACTATCACAACATGCAGAAAACCAATCAGAGCATGCCACGCATGCATGGAGGACATGTCCAGGTCCATCCCCTCAGATTCCAACCACGCTCTTTCCCCCCCATCGAGTACAAAATCCCACATGGGGACATGAGAAGAAGGAACCTTCTAGCACCATGAGATGGTAACAGGTAATATATATATATATATATATATAATCCCACATGGGGACATGAGAAGAAGGAACCTTCTAGCACCATGAGATGGTAACAGGTAATATATATATATATATATATATATATATATATATATATATATATATATATATATATATATATATATAAAAGATGTTTTGGATGCGTTCCTTGATCACTAATGTACATTGATTGAAATCTTATTAGTTTTTAGATTTTGATTAAAGTTTTTTGACTTTGTACAATAATATATATATATATATATGAGATGTTTTGAATGCGTTCCTTAATCACTAATATAAATTGATTGAAATCCTATTAGTTTTTAGATTTTGATTAAAGTTCTTTGACTTTGTACACATCAACATATTAGCATTAATCAATTTCCATGTCAACTATTTTATATTTTAAATTAAACACATATTAAATATTGTAATATAGACATCCTTTAAAGAATTTTTTTTTGTCCGAACATTTAAAGCAATTAAATAAAATAAGTTTTATGGGATATAAAATCCCATAAGATTTGAACTTTAACATTTGTGGAATTAAACAACAACCTGCACCCTTAGAAAAGAATTGTTTTTTTTTATTGAATGTCATGATAAAAGATAAATGTTTCCATAAGAACGTACCCATGTACAATTATAGTAATTCACAAGAATGTATCCATATACAATTTCAACATTAAAACCCATATGTGACAACAACAAGAAAAACAATGTACCCATATATATTCTTAATGTAAAAAATGATTAAAGGATAGAAAAATGGAAGCAAACCATGAGACCAAATTACTTAAGGCTACCTATTATATAAATCTTATAGGAAAAAGTTATACATATATGGGTACAAAAAAATTTAGAAGAGAAAGTTACAATGGTAGTATAGAATAAAAGTTCTGTACATGGATTAAGGAACAAGAGAAGAGAATGTAGCCAATGAAATAAAAATTGCATTCAGAGTAATATAATGTTCATTTGTTACGATTTTGCAATATGATGGTCATGGAGAAAAAAATAAGTTTGAATTTTTTTAGCGAAATTTAAATTTGAAGATACATATTCAATATAATAATGTTGAATTTGAATATAAGCATAAATTTAAGTGAGAGAATTTTGAGATTTTCAATTACAAACGTGATAATGTGGGACAAATTATAAATTAAAATTTGTTGTAAAAAAAAAAAAAAAGATGACATGGAAGTATTTTAATAGTAAAATGCTGAGGTGTACAAAGTCAAGAAGTCAAGGGATTTTGATCAAAAACTGAAAATCAATGAGGTTTTAATTTATGAACATTGGTGATTGGGGACTGGATTCTAATTTTTCCTATATATATAGCCCTTTATGCACAGGGATTTCTATTTTTTTTAAACATGGAATTAGGTGTGCGGTTCACTCTACATCGAACTTCAACGATCCGAATTATCTATTTTGTAAGTCTCAATTCGTAGATCATCCTTACACAAATTCAATTCAATCCGAAACTATTTGTCTATTTAATTATCAAGATAAATTTCATTGTTTCTTATATTACAAAGTATTAGTTAATTTCTTTGAACACAACTAGATGTCTTAAATATTTCCAATTTGGCTAATATTTTGCAATGATTATGAGATGCAACTTAAAAAATAGACAGTTCAGATTGTTAAAGTTTGATGTAGTGTGGACCCCACAACTAATCCCCGTTTAAAAAAATGAGAATCCATTCCCTGGAACATTATATATATAAGCAGGAGATATATAAACAGGAAGCTTGATAGAAATGCAAAAATTTTTGTGAATCTTTTTACTTTTATTACACGTACCATCCTACACAACTATATATATGAACATCAAACACTCTTACCATATACTTCTATGAAATAAAAAATATTGGGCCTACGTGTCTCATCCTCCTCTCTTAAGAACAGAAAATACACTAGAATTATACAGTTCAATTCTCGTCTCATTCTTCTTATGATTCAAAAACAACCCGGAACAGAGTTTGATTCTCATCCCCCTCTCATGCAAATCCAAATACCCTAGAAACAAAGTTCAATTCAATCCTCCTCCCAATAGGTCGGTGTGCAAGAAACTCATCATGGAGAAAGAAGCACTACCTAAACATTAGTGACCATTGTCTGTCAAGTCTAGAAACCCAAGCGGTCAATTCTCGTCATCATCTTCCTCAAACTCATTACCCTAGAAACAAAGTTTGATTCTCGCTCTTCTCTTCCTACGAATCAAAATACTCTAGAAATAGAGTTTAATTCTCGTCTTCCTCTTCCTCCCAATCACAATGGATACGATGAGTTGCTGGAATGCGAGCACAAGTGACTACTCAACAATGAATGGAGCAAACGGTGCACGTTCAAACAAGTTGCCTTCTTCAAGGTACAAAGGAGTAGTGCCACAGTCAAATGGCAGGTGGGGAGCTCAAATATACGACAAGAGTCATCGTGTATGGTTGGGAACCTTCAATGATGAAGAAGAAGCTGCTAAAACCTACAACATTGCCTTGCTAAAGTTCCGGGGTCTTGATGCCATCACACACCTCAGTCGAAGCCAAATGAAACCCTACGGACGTGATGTCACGGAGGCTCTTTTCTTGGAATCCCATTCCAAGGCTGAAATCATTGACATGCTTCGAAAACATTCTTATGCCAACGAGCTCGAGATGTACAAGCATAAGTTGCACAATGGTAGTGCTCTTGGCCTTGATGATGGTGGAAAGCGTACGAAGTGTTACCTTTATTTAATGGACACGTGTAGTCGCGAGAGGGAGTTGCTTTTCGAGAAAGTGGCAACACCAAGCGACGTAGGGAGATTGAACCGCATGGTTATACCAAAACAACATGCCGAGAAGCATTTTCAGGTTCATCTGAGTGTAGGGTTTGGTAAAGGGGTGTTGTTGAAATTTGAGGATGAGTTGGGGAAGGTGTGGAGGTTTGGGTACTGTTATTGGAGTAGTAGTCAGAGTTATGTGTTGAGCAAAGGGTGGATTCGTTTTGTGAAGGAGAAGAAGCTGAAAGCTGGTGATATTGTGATGTTTCAGAGATCGGTAGGGGAGGATAAGAAGCTGTTCATTGAGTGTAGACCTAGAAAAGTCGATGTTTCGCGGATCGAGGAGATGCATGGTAGGGTTGCTGGCCCTTTAGCGACGGTTCAAGATGATGGAGTGGTGAGGTTGTTCGGAGTTAACATATCATGAAAACATGTGCATTGTAGAGAATAGCAGGTGTTGGAGGCTTTGACCATGTTCAATAAGTTAAAAGTCATCCTTTTATTTTCCTTTATTTTCTTTTTCTTTTTGTCATAGATAATTATATGACAAAGCTCGTGGCATATAGAACGATTGGGTAATTTTCAAGTTTAATAAAAGAACGACAATATCCTAATCCCATCGTTCTGTAACCAAATGCCATCGTTTTGCAAATTTAAGGGGAACGTTATATAAACACACAAAACTGTACTTACTCACAAAATCTTTAATGTAAGTGAGTAGTAGAGTTCATTTGTATTAATTAGAGTGTAAAAAATATGATAATATTTGTTTATGGCTTATGTATTAACACCCCACAAATTGTTGAATAAACTCCACATACCTAATACACCCCACATTTGCTTTTTCAATTAAAAATTATATTAATACACCGCACTTCATTTCCCAAATACCCTCACACCCACATTCTCAATATACACTATACATTTTCTACATACACCCCACATTTTTTATACACCCCATATTTCTCAAATCTTATAACACTCATTTTTAATTTTGTCGAATGATTTCAAACCATCTGAACATTAGTTTGCCAAATAATTTCAAATTGAATGATTTGAAAAATGTTTAGGTTCATTTGAACGTCTTTCAATAACAATAATAATGATCGTGATTCCACATTGCTCAACTTTTCTTTCGAGAAATTGTGCGACTATGTGGAGTGCCTCAGTCTATTACTTCTGATCGTGATTCAACATTTCTCAATCATTTTTGGATTACCTTGTGGAAATTATTTGGTACAGATTTGTGGCGTAGTACTACGGCTCACCCACAAACGGATGGTCAAACCGAGGTTACAAACCGCACCATGGGTAACATGGTTCATAGTGTTTGTGGGACCTTGCTCTTCCTCAAATTGAACTTGCCTACAACAGTGTTGTTCACAGCGTAACTGGCAAGTCTCCTTTCTCCCTAGTGTATACTACTGTCCCCAAGCATGTAGTGGGCCTCATCAAGCTCCCTACGGGTCCAAGTGGTAGTGTTGCTGCTGAAAAGATGGCAAAAAGCATCCAAGCTATTAAGGCAAAGGTTTGTGAACGTCTGGCACAGACATATGCAAATACAAAGCGGTGGTTGACCAACATAGGGGTTCCCATGTGTTTCAGGTCGGTGACGCTGTGATGGTGTTTTTTAGGAAAGAAAGATTTCCAGTCGAGACTTACAGCAAGGTCAAGCCTCGCAAGTATGGACCCTATAAGATTCTACAGAAGATTAATGATAATGCTTATGTTGTGGATCTTCCTTCTTCTATGAGCATTTCTCCTACCTTCAATGTTGCTAACCTTTTTGAGTTCTAAAATTAAATAATTATCGATGCCGTCGAAATCACTAAAACAATGAAAAATATGAAGTCTTACCCCATGTGAAAATTTCGAAATACCGATTTCATGTTCCATTCGTCAAAAATAATTTTTCTCAATCAACATATTTGTAGTTTCATTGGTTAGGGTTTTATTCAACAATGGAGGGTGGGTGGGGTTTTGATAGTTCAACAAGAGAAATAATACGTTAAAAGTGATTTAGGGTCTATTTAGAAATTTTTTATTTTTTTAAACCTAAAAATGTCAAAATTGTCATTGCATAGTACGGTAAATAAGTCATTAATATTAAATTTTAATGTGAGGTGTTAATATAAAAGCCTTTGTTTAGTTAAATAGAATTATTCTAAATTTCTTTCATCTTCCACTACTTTCATATTTTTCTCCTTTAAAAAAATAAAATTACTAAAAAGAATTTGAGCAAATACGAAAAACAATGATTCAAACTTCAACCTTGACAAGCCACCTACTACGGTTTAGTGATATTTGTTTTTCATTTATAACTGAGGTTTTTTGTTCGACTCTTGTGAATGGCAATTTTTGCACCTAATTATTAAATGGCTGACCTATTATATGGATTAGCCAAATGATCTCCTAGTGTAAATATATCGCTAAATTCAAAAACTTCATTTGTAACATAAGACAATATTCCAAGGAGGCATTCCTTTTTCAACATAAACTTGACATTATTTTATTGTACAAACGTCATAAATGGAACCAATCATTTTCTTTAGCTTGTTGAAAGATCCTCTCCATAAAAATTCATAGATTTAGAGACCATTTAAGCATCCATATGTATAAATAAATCGACAATTATGATAGTAAGTAACATCCTTGAATGAATGGCTAAAAATTGTATGATTGAACGGTTGACAAATTAATAATTTTTTTGAAGACGGCCTTTAAATGATGATAAAATATAGAATAAAGGATTTTGATTTGAGAAGCAAAATAATGCTACATAATCACTAAAGGATGAATGGCTCCTTACAAAGGAGAAAAAATCCTTTCTTTTTCACGCAAGTAATTTGACAGGATAACTTACCAATCTAAATCAATAGCTACTTTAACGTACTATTTTGTATTTGTTATGCTATCACTCTCGTGACTTTAGGTTCGCTAGAGGTATTTAACATCATTGCATAAATGCTTTAGACCATCTCCAACCCTTGGGCTAAAAGCCAAATTTTTTACCCCGGAAAATTTAGCTTTTAGCCCAGAAACATCTTTTCTGCTCCAACCCTTCTACCCTAAAATTTTAGCCCGGAATTATTAAAGAATGAAATTAGCCTAAATTTTTTTCTTAAATCAATTTTTTTTAAATAAATATGTAGATTATTGTAAATTAATTTTATGAACATTTTAATCTAAAAAAATTTAAATTCCGATAAACATTTCGCATTTAGCCCGGGAGGAAAGCTGGGGGGTATTTGGCCCAGAAATAGCATTTGGCATTTAGCCTAAAATTTTAGCATGGGTTGGAGAGTGTTTGGGGGGTAATTTGGCTTTTAGCCCAGGGTTGGAGATGGTCTTAGGGAATAAACACATGACCTCAATGTTAAAAAACAAAATCAGATTGCATCATAACCATTTTTTCTTGTTCAGTGTTGTTTAAGATGGGTAGATATTTATTTATATGTTATATAATAATAAAAAATTGTCTAGGCCGGTCTAGACACTAGACCCTTACTCTCTAAGAAATTTTTTAATGTGCCCGAAACGCAAACACATACATCATGTCATTATACAAGTGGATTAGTATCATTGATATCTTATGACTCATAAGCATAAGAAGAAGTATTAATAATTATACACATATTACGGCATAAGTGCATTAGTATTATATTCCCTACATAGATTTCAGATTTCTCAATTATTTTTCTTGAAGTTCATTGTAATAACTAGGCAATTCCGTTCTTGTTTTCATGGATTAATTCCTTAGATAAGAAATTGTTCAAGTCCTTTTATCGCTGAAGGCTTATAAAAGAACCAAATGGAGTAAATTTTCTACTCGATGCACAACCACACTTAATTAGAAGTCAATATCGATTTAGGCGCAATCTCATCCAACATGTCTACTACCAATACCTAGTAGTGTGAGCAAGGCTTAGGAGATTTTAGGAGTAAACGCATATAAATATTTTTTACATAACTAAAGCTTGGTAACAATAATGAGTAATTAACAATGCACAATATTATTCAACATGTTGTGAGTAGCATTTTAATAAGAATATGATTGTGTAAACTTAAAGTGTAAATCCAATAAAATCCTTATACGCTTGTATATTTGTAGGGCAAACAAATCTCATCATGATTAATATATATAAAGGTATAAGGCCAATGGAGAAAACACATTATGAGAAACAGCTGAGCCCATCAAAATCTCGAAGAACATTCTTGAAAGTGCTCATCATCCAACTAATTCTAAACCTAACTTATGTTTTGTGAATTATATTATGCAATTGTGATTCAATATATGAATTACTTGAGATATGTTTGGGAAAATATTGAAAAGAATAGAAAATAGTGGATTTTAGCCAAACCTCTGAGTTGCGGCTAGACTTGGCATTTTCAAACCGACCCATTAACTTGACCTGATTTGATCCGTTAAAATTAGTTTTCGGGTGAGTGATAAAAGAGTCAAGTGGTTAATGGGTCAACCCGTTAAATAACGGGTTATTTTGGGTGAACCCACGAAACCCGTTAGCCACCTGTTTCACCCGTTATTGAAAACTTTTGTATAATTTCAATAGTCCTAATAGAAAACCCTCAGTCCCTCTCCACTCTCTCTTGCGTACGTCGTTGCTCTCTGAGAGATCGTTGTGCTCCTTCCCTTCTAGCTCTGGTTATCTCCCTCATCTTCTTCCCTAAATTTTTTTTACTGAACTCCACCACTCTCTCTCTCTCTCTCTCTCTCTCTCTCTCTCTCTCTCTCTCTCTCTCTCTCTCTCTCTCTCTCTCTCTCCAATCAGTGCCTTATCTAAGCAAAACCAAAAAGCTTTCAACTTCCTCAAAAGCCACACTGCGAGCAAAGCAACACAAAAGAACAGAGAGAGAGAGACAGCCATGGCATCTCTAGCTCAGCAATTCATAGGCTTAAGAGTTAAGATGCTCACCGCTCTCCACCTTGAGGCTCTCGAAGCCCTCAATCCTGCTGAAGCAAAATAAAATGTCGGGTTTGCTCCCCATCGTCTCCGCCGCAGTCATCTCAAATGCACATACCAAAGAGTGCCTCAAGCTCAAGGAAATCTTTGAGGATGCTCACGAACGGGGCTGTAATTGATTTGGATGAAATGTTAAAAATAAATAAAATAAAATAAAAAAAGGTTAACATGTGAAATGGGTTGAAACGGATGATTCGTTAGCTTAACGGGTTGGGTTCGGATGATCCGTCAAATTAATAGGTTGGGTTCAACTTAATAAACCCGACCCGTTTATAAGTCTAGTCGCGGCTACGCCGAGCCAAGCCGCGAAGCCCTTATCGTCCAAAACCCTAATCCCAGGTGAACGACATGTCTCCTTCCTTCAAACCTGGCCGCGCCACCCTCTGCCCTCGCCTAAAGTTGAGTGGCCACGAGGCTGCAAAAATCTGAAGAATTTAAATCTAAACAAATAAGTTCTGGTATTTAAACTAGACTCACCTTCAATTGTGGTTCTAAGGGTGATGAAGGCCACTTACGCGTAGTTCGTGGCTGGTTGGTGTCAAAAGTTGGACACACTCTACAATCATTGGACGCATACTACTCAATCCTCCTAAGTCCTGAGTCCTCCACCAAGATAAGCATTGGAATTTCTCTTGAATTGTAATTTTTTTTTTTTTTTTTTTACTTTTGCATCGAAAACTACTTGACGTAAAAGACCTGAGATATGTTGAGGTACATTTAATCATGAGACCAAGTTTAGAACTTCTCTTAATGAAACAATAAAATGCTTATAAAGACAAGACCATGAGTTTTTTTTTGTTTTTCCTATAGCTAGAGACATGTTTTGGAATCACTGCATAGAGAGACAATTCAATTATTTGTTAATTACATGTTGGTTGTCATAGCTTTTGTTGTTGCCAAAAGACCAAAAAAGTTATTTTCAATGACCTAGTGAGACATGATAATTTTATAAAAATCCCATGAGACAAGTTTACTTCTGATTTATATTTGAGAAAATAATGAAGTTAAGAAGAAGGATGATGTTATTCATACATCTGTTTTTACTTTCTACACATCTTTGTTAATTTCTATCATTTGATATTTTTGAATTCATTTGATCGAAATATCAGAAATTGTAAGGGTCGTGTTAGAAGTAAAAATGAGTATGTGAATAGCACACCCCTAGAAGAATGAATTAATGAACTCTACGCTTGAATGAATTCTATTAGCAACCTGCAGCTTAATGAACTGCATGTTCTTCAATAAAGTGTCAAACACCCTTTACTTGCAACATGTGTTGGAAGTTTTGAGACTCTTGTCCCACATTGGGAAAAACAAGATTCCTAAGGACCTTTATATAGATTTAGTGCTTTAGTCTAGTAATTAGAAAATGGACCATTTGGAAATGGATTGAAGGCTTGGGCCTTATGGTTGTGTGGATTAGTCTTGTATAATATAGCCTAAATACAATTAATATCAATTAATCTGATTCATTAATTTTAATTTTCGAATTAAGTTTTTAATTAATTTATTAATTAAAAATGTTTTGATTGAAAGACACAGCTCTTAGAAAGAGTTGTGTAATAATATAGCCTAAATACAATTAATATCAATTAATCTGATTCATTAATTTTAATTTTCGGATTAAGTTTTTAATTAGTTTATTAATTAAAAACGTTTTGATTAAAAGACACAGCTCTTAGAAAGAGTTATGTACTTTCAAATACATGTTCAGTGTATTTGAAAAAGTGTGAAACAACCTATATATTTGCAATCGCAGTATCCAAGTGGGATCATCTTTTCGTACTCTTTTTCTTCCGTACGAATTTTCTAGAGAGTAAACACACAAAACAAATTCGCTAGAATTCTAGAATCCAGTGCGAGTTGTAGAATTAGGTAGTTGAATCCTGGTCGAGCAGACGTTGTAGAACCAAAAGCACAAGAGTGAGACAAAAATATTGTTAGAAGGACATAGCAATCACAGTATCCAAGTGGGATTATCTTTTTGTACTCTTTTTCTTCCGTACGAATTTTCTAGAGAGTAAACACACAAAACAAATTCGCTAGAATTCTAGAATCCGGTGCAGGTTGTAGAATTAGGTAGTTGAATCCTGGTTGAGTAGACATTGTAGAACCACAAGCACAAGAGTGGGACGAAAATATTGTTAGAATGACATAGCTTTTACGCTAGCCTCTACCTTCTGTAATCAAGTTAGTAACATTGATATTCTTATATTAATTTATTTATTTATTGTGTAATTTCATTCTGCACAGCAAATATTTTTGGTTAATGAAATATTAGAATTTCAAGTTTTGTTTATTTCTGAATTGTTCTCCAACAACATATGCTTCAAATATTATTGTCAGTGCCATAGTATGTTATGAATATCAAGATTTCAAATCTTCTGCTCTAGGTAATGTTTATTCCATCATTCGGAGAGATTTTCCCAAATAACGAGTATTCAAGTGGTTCTTTACATGTCATTTCATAATACCAGTAAAGATATGTCGCTAAGTGAATTTGTTGATTATATTCGAACAGAGATCGACTACACTGAAATGCTCTTGTCTGTCCATCTCAAGAAACCGAACCTGCCAATGGTGAGCAGGAGGGCTACAGTGATCTCCATCTTGGTCCCAAATTAGTTGGGGTTGGAATGACGATTAATTCTTACATCGATAACGAAAATAGAGATAGGGGAAGGTTTCTTCGAATCACCTACAGTGGAGAGGTGAGAGGCAATTAAGTATGAGAATGCATGTTGTTTATACCATATTTAGGGCCTCGTATTTAGACCTCGTATGAATACTCGGAGGACTTAAATGTAATTATGTAATAAAGGAATGGGCAAATATGTAATAAGTGAGGAATCCTTATTCTGTAAAAGGACCACTCACCCTCACAATTGGGGGAGGCCAATTCCTAGGCCTGAGATCCCCTCTCTCACCCTCAGAAGCTCTCATAAGCTCTCACCCACTCCCTCACTTCTCAGAGAAATACAATACAATCAGTGTGGAAGTAGCCTAAACCTTGGGATGAACCACGATACATCTTGTGTTATTTACATTACTTGCAGATTCACCGTCAGATTTACGTTGTTCCAAGACCTCCGGTTTTGTGCATCAACACATGTTGTGGAAGCTTTGTAATAGTCAGCCTTTAAAATATTGGTATCAGTGGAATATTGATAAACAAATTTGTGAAAGTATAAATGGATATATCAAATATTGATATCGGTATCAGTTGTTTTTGATGGAAAATATGGAAATTTAAAATTAAATTTTAGGGATTGTCAAACATTAATTTGGACGAAATATAAGAGTTTCTCCGATTTTAACACGTGTTAGAAATAACGATAATATTTATCGAATTTAGCCTAAACTTAAGAATGTCTCCAATATGAGATGAAGTTTAAACTTCACCCCTATTTTCATATTTTTGGCTCAATGTATTTGGGCCTGGAATGGTATATTTTTTTCATCTTTGTTTTTTAAGAAAGCTAATAAAAAATGTTTGAAAATTTTGAGTTTTAATTAACTACTCAATCGGCTCAAACAACTAGAATAGTACCCGAAGTCATAATTTCATGATATTTCATACATCTGTTAAGATTGTTTTTAAATATATCGTTAACTGATGACGTGGCATTTATGCTGATAATGACTGAGCGTCATGTGTTAATATGGCCCACGTGAACATTAAAAAGTTAAAAGAATATAAATTTAAATTTGTTTTATATTTTTTTAATTTTTATCTTTTAATATCCATGTAAGCTCCATATTGACACATGACGTCCACTTATTGTCTACATGCGTGCCATGTCATCACTTAACAGGAGAGTTAACAGCAACCTTAACAGATGTATAAAAGTGTCCTAAAATTATGACTTAATTTCATGTATCACTCTGAAATTAAAAAAACTTGATGTAACAAATTTTAAAAATCAAGAAACTTGAGAATAGTACACTGAGATTAACCCTAATTATTAAACGAAAACTAATAAAAAAGGCTTGAAAACTTTGAGTTTTAACGATAAAGACAAAATAAAGAGTAAAGTGAATAGTACCAAGTTTGATTTTTTAGTGTAAAAATGTAATTTTTCGTTAAAATAAATAGTACCGCGAGCTTTTCGTTAAAACTCTCAATTATTAACACTACTTTGATAAAAGAATAGCATATATTGAGTTAAATAGAAAATTGTACATGTTGATGCTTATTTTTATTTTAATTTTAATAGGAGGTTGATACTCAATTATTAGTGGTGAATTATTATGTTATTTCCCAAATTCAATATTCTTTTATAATATAATTAAAATTGTGTAGAGAAACAAATAAAACGAAAGTAATATTAGAATTACTTTAATTTTCTTATCATAATCTAAAGATTATATCTAAAAACTTTTATTTAAAGATTTTTTTTTTGTCAGTAATAACAGAAAAAAGAGAAGGAAAATGAAAGATGACAAGTTGCGGAGAGTGTTAATTCAAGTAAAATTTCAAAACCAAACCACATAATTAGTTCTAATTAACTTGGTTTACTGCTAAACCCAACCCCGACCGCAATCCGCTCCACAAGTTTCGCCAGCTTCGCATGCTTGCCGCACCAAGCTTCCACAAACTTCGCCTCCTTGCCCTCCGCCTCCCTCTGCAGCGCGCTCAGCTCCTCCCTGTAATCCCTCTCTATTCTCCCCACCAACGCCACCTCCTCCTGTCTCAAGCACCTTATATGTGCCTCGATTTCCTCCACCGCCTCCCTCCGCTTCCTTCCCTTCTCCGCCTCCAGCTGCTGCTCCAGCCTGCTCAGCCGCCATGTCGCCTCCTTCTTCTGCTGCATCCAGCTCTGCATCCCCTCCTCCACCTCCTTGCACAGCTGAATCAGAGTGCCCATCTGATAAAAACGGGTCGGGTCCGTGTCGGGAACCGGATCGGAGGGAGACAGCGTCAAGCTCACCGAAGGCGAAGGGGTGGTGGAGGACGTGGATGACGTTGTTGACGACGGGTTAATGTTCATCCACTGAGGCATAACGGAAGGTGCAGTTACGGACGTCGCGGTGGAGCCGACCGACCCGAGTGAAAGTACAGGGTCCGGTTCTTGCATCATGGTGGTGGACTGGAACGCAGCACCGTAAACCTTTGGCTGGACGACGTATTTCTCGGCGAAGGTTTCCAGTATGTGGTCGTAGGGACCCTTAACGGCCTTCTCCGGAGATCCAATTCCAGCGACCGGAATATTCATGTCCGGTGGCAGCTGGGTCGACGACGACGATGTACTGCACAGAAGGTGTTTGTTCTTTTGCCTCTGAGACTGCAACTTGAGCTGCTTCTCCTTAAAGACCTCCCACCACTTGCCGAGGCGCTTGGGGGTGCGGCCGGGGAGCTCGGCGGCGATCTTCTTCCACTTGTTGCCGTGCTTTGCCTGGAGGGAGACGACGAGGGCCTGCTCCTCCGGGGTGAGCGAGCCCTTCTTCAGGCCGGGCTTCAGGTAGTTCTTCCACCGCTCCAGGCAGGACTTGGGGTCACGGAGGAGGGGCTTCCCCATCCGCTGGGAGACCAGGCTCCACTCTTTCGGCCCATATTGCTTCACGTAGGCTCGCAGCAAGGCGTCTTCTTCCGGTTGCCAGCGCTGCCGCTCCTTCATTTCATCGCCATGTCTTCCGCCGGAATTGAGAGAGATCGCAACCGCTGACGGAGGAAGAACTGATTCCAATTCCAATCCAACAAAACTCAATTCAATTCCACTTCCCGTTCTTACCAAATAGTACGGATTTGGGAAATTATTAAGGATGGAATGGAGATGGGGTATCTTTGTTTGTAATATATAGACGGGGGTGGATACTTGACGCGCCAATTCGTGAGGGTGGTGACATCAGTGATAAGTGGAACGGTGGCAGTCGTATTTGCTGGTTTTAGGGCGCATTGAATGATAGTGGAGGATTGGCCCCGATGGGATTAGTCATTGGAGAGAGAGAAGGATCAGAAGGCCAGGAATCAGAGAGAAGGGGGCGGGTGAGTGACAGTGATTAGTCAGAGTGGTGGACAGGCGACTGGACTGGACTAGGGCAATACTGGACAGCAAGACTCTCCCTACCTCAAAATTACTGTGCATGGATAGCAAAGATGCCGAGTGGAATTCAACCCCCAATCTTATCCATATATGTACTACACTAGTTTACTCTAGTAACTGTTCAATTACCATGTTGATAGGGAAAAATGCATATGCCTTGGTGTGGCCTAGACTTGTTGGTTGGTGGCTTCGTCTCAATGACAGCGGTGGAGTTAGAGCTTTTTAGGGTAAATCGTCAAAATGATCACTGAAGTTTGCATAAATCATTACTTTGTTCCTGAGATTCCAAATCGATAAAAGTGATTCATGAGATTGTCCATCATTCATCATTTTGATTATTCTGTTAAAAACTCCGTTAAATGTCCCGGAGCTCTTGGCCAGAAGTTTGGGCAATTTTCAAAGCTTCGTAACTCAATCGTTTCTTAACCAAATTCGACCCATAATATATCAAAATGAAGATAGGAAAGTGTAGAATCAGATTATACCTATTTCAAAACCCAATAGTTGCCGGAGATGGCCGGAAAATAGCCTCAAAGTTGACTGGTGCGAGTGAAAACTTGAAAACGCGCTGGAAACTGGGAAAATTTTAAACGTTCATAACTTCTTCAATACTCAACGAAATCAAGTGATTCAAAAACGAAAACCATACTTCTCGACGAGACGAAGAGAATGGTGCCTTTTTGGACGGCTAACTAGCCGTGGTTTAGCCGAAAAACGGCTCGAAAGTGGCTAACTTGAGACCAAGACAGCCACTTTCGAGCCATTTTCCAATCAAACCACGGCGAGTTAGCCATAAAAAAAAAAGGTACCATTCTCTTCGTCTCGTCGAGAAGTATGATTTTCGTTTTTTAATCACTTAATTTCCTTGAGTATTGAAAAAGTTATGAACGTTTAAAGTTTACCCAATTTCCGGCGAGTTTTCAAGTTTTCACTCGAACCAGTCAACTTTGAGGTTATTTTTCGGCAATCTTCGGAAACCATTGGGCTTCGAAATAGGTATAATCTTATTCTACACTTTCTTATCTTCATTTTGATATATTATGGGTTGAATTTGGTTAAAAAACGATTGAGTTTCGAAGCTTTGAAAATTGCTCAAACTTCTGGTCAAGAGTTTCGGGACACTTAACGCAGTTTTTAACGGAATGACTAAAATAATGGATGATAGACAATCTTAGGGACCACTTTTATCGATTTGGAATCTCAGGGACCAAAATATTAAGTTAATCTCAATGACCATTTTGGCGATTTACCTGAACTTTTATGATATAAGAGCATAAAAAATGAACTAAAATACAGTTAAGTATGATATTACAAACAAAGAAAAATTGATTACATTTCGACAAAATAATTTACAGTTATTCTTGGTGAGTTTTCATGTTTTGAAAACATTAGATAATAAGTTCATTATCAATCCCGTTGAATATTTCTAATCAACAAGCAATTATCCTTGCCGTACCAGTTTGTTTGGTGTACTTTCAGAAAGCAGACGCATTAAATACGACAACAATAAAATTGGCTATGAGACAATTCCAATCACCTTCAATCTAACCAGCTAATAGGCATGTCACTTGTTAATTAATCAGATCGATGCTCAAACAAAAAGGTAATCAAAAAGTTAGAGCACTGTGATTAAATTCTCGATAAGAGCATCTCTAACGGACTAGCTAAACCGCTGCGAACCATATTTGGTTGAAACTCCCCAAGTAATGCAAATGCACAAACACCAATGGTATGTGTAATGTGCATCAATGTATGTGTAATAATGAGAGTGTAATGTTGAAAGGGGCAATTGTTTGTGTTGTTGTGTCTTGTTCTTGTATATAAATACGAGACCCATCAACGCATTTATCGGATCTGTTTTTGGCTGCTTTTTCTCCTTTTGTTTCTCACTGTAGGTGTGTAGGGTGGGGTTTTCAGGATTCAAACTTTGGATTTATATGCACCAGCATATTCATGCACATAAAAGATGGAAGGGAAATCCAGTTAGTTGCATCAAAGCATTTTATTCACGTGTTGAGCCCAATGCTCTTATCTCACCACTAAAAATTGAGTATGCATACTTTTAAGAGACGAGCTCTGTTAAAGTGACGTTTTGCGTCAACGATATAATGTTATGCATATAAATTTTTGTCCATATGAGTTTATATTATAATCACAAGACACCACAATGAGCACAAGACATCACAATGACAATATACTTGTGCCGCATAAGTCCTTATAATGCTAAAGGCGTTTCACATCAAAGATGAAAGGTTAAGAAAAGGAAATTGTTATTGGCACTCCAAAATTCTCATTCTACACTCCAAACTTTCTATATTTAGAAAGAAAATTACAATTGCCACTACTCCCTAGCAACAAGTCTTGCTGCTGCTTTACTTGTGACAGGTCCCCACTAACTTTGTGGTTGATATATTCATTCTTTGAGGCACATGGAGAATGGAGATGGGGCTGCAGAATACTCAAAAAGTGCCTTCTTTGAGGCCGATTTGGTTGGAGCCGAGATGCAGATAAGGTAAAAAATAAAATGCGCATCCAGGGAATCGAACCCTGGTCAGTACCGTGGGAGGGTACTATGATACCACTACACCAGATGCGCTTGCTGTTACATCACCAACTTATAAATACATAAAGAATTTCCTTCGACAAATGGCCCAAGCTTAATTCACGGCCGTGAATTATGGGCTGAAAAAAAATCCCAAACCGAACCGAAAAAATTCCAAACCGAAATTTCCGAAAGTTTCGGTACCCAATACGAACCAATCCCGAAATTTCGGTACGGGAATTGGTCTCAAGTTTTTGGGATTTCGGTAATCCCAAACTGAATGGGAAAATATATATATATATATTATTTAATTTTTAAATATATATTTAGAATTTTAATAGCCGTTGGATTCTGTTGAGATTTAATCTCAACTGTTGCATATAAATTGTGTATGATTTATCCTTCATGGTGTGAATGTATATATGTGTGTCTGTGTGTGCATGGGAAACACGAAAATGTTTGGCATTTGGCATTGTAAATGACAGATAAGGAGGGGAAGGAGGAGTGAAATGCACGCTAATGACTAATGGGAATTTTGATGCTCAGGTCCTCCATGAAATTTAATCTGTGCAAAGATTAAATTGTAAGTTACATATTAAATTTATTTTTATTGCAACATATTGGTTTGGTTGTATACTTGTAACTCACAATGGCCTATGAAATTTATTAAGAAAATTTAGTCTGCAACAGATTGGCAGCCCAATATAAAAGGTTGAATTTTAGCCCAAAACATAATATGTCAAATTTTAGTCCAAAAATCCAAAATCATTTTGGGATTCCCGATTTGTCCCGAAATCCCGAAATTATTCGAGATTCCCGAAAATTGGGATTCCCGAAAAATTGGTTTGGGATCGGTATTGGATTTGGGAATCGGGACACGGATTTCGGTTCGGTATCCCATACCGAACCACCCCTTATGACATCTAGAGTTTCAAAATCTCTAATTGCCGGCCCGTTTATGGTATTTTGGATGCTTAAGAGTAATTTGAGTTGAATTTTGCACAAGTATAGAACCCGAGGTATATAGAGTTAGAAGACAACTAATGTTAATCAGTTCCTACGAATATTGATTTGTGTTGAGCCATATATAGATTGATATGAACACGACACAAATATAAATGAGTTCCAAGTTTGATATATTTTTGCCCCTAGTTGTTGGAAACCGAATCGTTTCTAAAGGCCAATTCTTCACCATGCATTGTGGCATCCAATTTCAAAAGCTTGAGTTGCATGACCTTTCATGGTAGGGTTGGTAATTTGTACAACTTTTGTTCATTATCCTTTTGAATGTCGATAAACTCATGAGTTGACACGAATACTAAACATATATAAATAGGTAAATCCGAACTATTGTATCCGTAATTGCACATCTAACATCTCTTTCTGCACAATACATGTCATACACTTCTTTTCATGAACATTCGTCAACTTCAATTGATTTACTGTATGAAATCTAGCAAATGTGACATTATTGTGCGTGAAATTAATCGATCATCCATGCGTCACATATTGTATTAATTGATGGAAAATGTTGTTTGGTTGCTTTTGCAGTAAAAGTTCAATAACTCAACAGCGAAATCGTTCAAAGCCTTGCATATCTCAGTTTAAGCCAGAAACCTGTGCATGCTCTCGGAGACCTTGTGCCCTTCACAAACAAACTAATTTTATTTTTATTTGAAAATTGGATTCACCAATATTCTCTAAAACATATTTATTTGAAAATTAGATAATGATTTTGTTATACGTATTGTATCAATTTTACTTTAATTGCAAAGATAAATTTCTATTTTCCAATATTTATTAAAAATTAGAAAGGAAAATTATTCTAAACCCTTGTTAATCAGGAAGCATGGCTACGTAAGAAATATAATAATCCATGATTAGCAAATTGAGAGCAAGCCTAAACCTTTAGACTTTTACTTTTGCAACAATTTAATAATGAGTAATGTTATTTATACCATGTTTTTGTATTACATTTTCATACTAACTTAGGTGGCATTTGATGTGGTCAGACTCATAATTTGAATTAATCAGATTTTTAAATTTAATTCATTATATAATAAACTAATAATTAAAAAAAACTAGTTAATTAATTGATGATTATGGTATACAAGAAGTATTTCTTATTCCTTTCCTTAGGTTTTGCAAAATTTTCAAATGATGTGGATGTCCACATCAGATGTCACCTAATGTAGTATAGTAATGTGATATAAAAATATGGTATGAATAATATTAGGGTAAATTACACAGTAGCCCCTCAGGTTTTGAGGTCTATTACAACCCCATACAACATCTTTAAAACATTTCACTTTCATACCTCAAGTATTATTTTATTTCAATATAATACATCCGTTAGATTTTCTATCCATTAATCTGTTAAATGCTGACGTGACTGCCACATTTGCGCCATATGGTTGCCAAATGTGTGCCACGTGGCAAAAAAAAAAATTTTTTAAAAATTGCCCCCCGTCTTCGTCTTCCCTCCCTCCTCCCCCACCCCCCAAAACCCAACCTGCAACCTAGAAGAAGAAGAGGAAGAAAAAAAAAATCATCTTCATCATCTTCCCCGTGGCACCCATCACGCACCCACCCATCTTTCCTCTCCTCTACACACTCTACCACCCCACACCCATCTTCTTACCCATCTTCATCTTCTCCGCAAACCCAGAAAAAAAAAAACAAAAAAAAAACGTCAGAGACACCTCCCTGCAACCTATACCCCCACAAACCAAAACCCAGAAACTTTCCCACCCTTCCCCCACCCCCCCCCCCCCCGACCCCAACGAACTCGACCCACCACCACCCTAGCCCAACCGGAAAAAAATTAACTCTCTTCTTCCCACCCTAAATCACCCACCATGAACCCGAGCTCTCCGACCTCGTGCACTGGAAGCTCGCCCACGCAAATGGCTACCCCCTCAAGGCTGCATCTTTTGAACCCCCATTCCTCTCGATTCGATCACGGCCTCCGACCCACCGCTCCGAATCGACTGTGTTCCCGACTGGCTTGGGTTTAATTGGCATTTCTGAATTTTTTTGTAAAGATGTGAAATTGGTGTTGCTTTGTTTGATGGATTTGGATAAACAAAGCAGGGGGTTTGAGGAGGAAGACGGCGACGACGGGACACGGGTGAACTGGAGAAGAAGGATGAGGGTGACGATTTGTAAGGGATGGGAGGTGTGGGTCTGGGGAGAGAGAAGGGATGGGAGGGTGAAGAAGGAGGAAATGGAGAAGTGGGTTGGGGGGTTTCTGGGTTTGTATGGTTTTTTATTTTGATTTGTTTTTTTATAGTTTTATAATTTATTTAGAAGATTTAGGTTTTTAAAAAAAAATTAAAAAATTATTTTTTTGCCACGTGGCACAAATGTGACAGCCACATCAGCATTTAACAATTAATGAATGGAAAATGCAACGGATGTATTATTTTGAAATAAAATAGAACGTGAGGTATGAAAGTGAAATATTTTAAAGATGTTGTATATGGTTGTAATAACCTTAAACCTGAGGGGCTACTATGTAATTTACCCATAATATTACTCTTTAATAATCCAACTTTGGATCTCGCATGAAATTGGAGGGTCCCTCCCCAAATACCAAACCAAACCCAAAAGAACAAAAATTCAAAGACAATGTTCCTCTTGTTCCTCCCACACAACAACAACTAACAAAAATCTCAGACAGGCAGTTGTGGTGGTTTTGTTTGTTGGGGGCCATCATCATCATCTTCTTCTTCTTCTTCTCACTCCTCTTCTAATGGTAGTTGTCCAAGCTTCCAAGCTCAGCCTCCCAAACCCTTCTCTCTCCTCCCCTCCCCAAATAACTTCCCTCCAGTTTGAACCCCATTCTCTCTCTCTAGCCCTCATGCACTCTGACTCCACTTTTTCTCTCTACCCCTCTCTCTCCTCCCCTCTTTCCCTCTCCTCTCTCCCTCCTCCCCAAACCCTAGTTGCCCCTCCCTCCTCTTCCTCCACCTTCCTCCTCCTCCAAAACCCAGACCCTAACCCCAACACCCGGACCCTCTTCATTGCATCCGGCCCTCACAGAGGTGGGTCCCAGGTCCTGCTCAGGTTCTACATTCTGCAGAATCAGAAACAATTCGTGAGGGCTCAAGTCATTTGCACCCAGAAAGGGATAAAATTTGATGGGAAATTGGGGGTTTTGGTGGATGCCCATCATGGGGTTTCGATTAAGCTTGCCGGGTCGGTCAATTTCTTCGCCATGTACTCCGTTTCGAGCTCAAAGATATCGGTTTTTTCTGTGAAAGTGATTGGTGATGGCGACAATGGTGATGATGGGGCGGTTGTGAAGTTGATGAGGTGTGCTGTGATTGAGTTGCAAGCTGGTTTGGTCGATTAGCATTTCGTTTGGGGTCTTGATCTTAGGAGAAGATAATGGAGTTAGGGTTTTTAATTTGAGGCAGCTTGTTAAAGGGCGGGTTCGAAAGGCCAAGACTTTGAGTTCGAGTTTGGAAAATGAGGGCCGAAATTTGGGTTTTCCTAATGGGGTGGTTGGTGATCATGTGCATAGTAATTTGGGGGATTGTGGAAATAAGCAAGGAGGCGACAAATGTGGTTGCGTTGAGGGGAGTTCGGAGATGACTTGCAGTGGTAACTTGTGTGGGAAGAATGATAGGAATTATGTTTCTGGTAAGTATGCAAATTATGCGTTTTGGTATTACTTTTTGCTGATCTTATCTTACCTGTATGTAGAAAATGCAATGCACAAACGTTCTTTTGTACTTTCAATTACGTGTCCATTGCTTGCCCCTTGTTGAGTTAGTACTTAATAGAGTTCGATACTAGAACCCTTTTGCAATGTGAAAGCTTTATGTACTGTTCATCTAAGTAATCGAGAACTTAAGAAATCCTATTGGAATTCTGATAACCACGCTGGCTATACAACCAATAAGGAAAGCTAGCGCACTGGGACCGCATTTTTTCCTAAAGCCTCTGTTTTTCTAAGTTAATGGTAGGCTTATTAGAGTAAATTTGTGTATCTTAGGTTGTGTCTTGAAAATTCGAGCAATCCTCATTACCTGTTATGGGATTTGTGCAAGAACTGGTAACTCATAAATGAATAGGTGCGGTAGAGGATTATAAAGGTCAAAAGTATTCAGTGTAGTTTTTTCTTGGAAGTTTCAAGGATTGCCTGTAAGATTTATTGTTTTCATATGATGGAAAAGACTAAGCTTTGATGGCTGGGAAGTTGCTGAAATCCATGTTGGTGCTAACACTTTAGGGGTGTAAGGGTCAAGGTTTGATGGGGGAAGTAATTCAGGTTAAGAGCAGGGTTTTTTATTTGAAAACTAAAGAAAGAAAGAAATGTGGTTAGCGTTCCTTCAGTCCTTGACTTTCAATCATGAATTAAATTAAGTTCGTGATGTTGAAAAATCATTTGATCAAGTGAATGAATAATGTGGTTTTCAATTTATACACGATTCACGCAACCTGAAAGATCATGATTGGGATTAAAATGACCTACCATGAGTGCCTATAAAAACAGTCCTGTATTACTTCGTTGAAATCTTGGTATCCAGCTCTTTCGGTGTTCTTGCTACTATTAAAGCGTCATGATCACTTTGTCTTAAGCCAATATAATCTACCCATGGATCTTTATATCCATCCGATAACTTATTGATCCTTATGAGAAATTCGTGTTACAATGGATGTACACAAACTCTTTCTCACAATGACTGGTCTATCACCAGCACTTGACGGATTAAATACAAGATCTTTTCCATTATATGTTGTAACTTTAGCTGTAACATATCTATTCGTGTTACTTCTTCTCAAAAAAAAAAAAAAAAAAAAAATCTATTCGTGTTACATTAGTTAGGCCTGTTTCTAAGCCTGCACTACTTGTATCTTATCTATGCGTTTATCTGTATTTCCACTGACAAATTGTTTTTTAGGTATTTCTTGTGGCCTAGGACATGGGTGCTACTCATGTAAGCAAGGTGCTGTCCTTTGGTTAAAATCATAAGGATGCCTCTAGATGGTAAATCACTGATTAGAAAAATAACTTAACTTTCTTATCATGGAATTGAAATCTCTAGCTCATAGACAGATTGCTAACCTCGATGCCCTCGGAAATTGACCCCTTTAGGGCATACAGCATATATAGTTCTGTAGTATGTTCACCGGATAACAACACCTGTCCATTTTAGATGGAAGTGACTTCCATTGATTCTTGGTTTTAGATCCACATGGACTTGTGTTGCCATTGGCCAATTCACTAGTGCCTCTAACACTGTGTTTAACCTTGCAGTCAAGCAGAGGTCTGTGAAACTGAAACAAGACTCTTGTGAAGAGGGAGTGTTTTTTGTGGAATTCAAAGGAAAGGAGCTTGAAACCTCAAAATCGAAAAGAGTGATACCAGCTAAGGCACTTTCTATTGAAGCACTGTCCCCCAACAAATTTCTAGTCTTGGATTCTGATGGAGGTTTACGCATTTTGCACCTCTCTAGTCCTATAATTGGATTAGAAATAACTTCTTGTGTGCAGCAGTTGCCTCACATTATGAAAGTGCAAAAGCTGGCTGTTCTTCCTGATATAGATTCAAGTATGCTTATCCAATCCATTGCATTTTAAAGATTTTGTACATGCTACATGTTGGAACACCGAAGGTCTATTGGGTATGCAATATGGGAACAATAGAAATTGATGATCTTAATGTCATTGTAGTTCATCTAAACTAGACGTAGGTTCAACCATGAGGATACTCTTCAATATATCATTGCCCTCTGAAACTTGGAAAACCTGTCATGATTTTGCAGGAACTCAATATGTGTGGGCATCAGATGGATACAATTCTGTGCAGATGTTGTTGGCATCTCACATGGATATTGCGGAAAATGAGAAAAATAACAGTGAGGAAAAACTGATTCATGTCTCAGGTATTCATTGTCCCATAATTTACCCTTAATTTTGAAATCATGTCGTATCTTTCTTTGTAATGTCGAATAAGTTTTCATGAGATTGAAAGTCATGGTCATATGCCCCTTTCTGGTTTTAATTTCCAGTATTTTACACTTAATTCTTTTTTCTGTGCTAGTTCTTCTCACAATTTTTGCCAGCGAAAGAATTCAAGATCTTATTCCTATGGCTGCAAATGCTATTTTAATTCTTGGACAAGGTATGCGTTTTTTTTTCTCCTTGTACTTTAGAAATTATTTTGTATGCAATAAGTGTTGATGGATTTCAAATATAGATAAAAGGCTAATAGCTAATTGCTATTTGCCTTAAATTGCATTACTTGTTACCTCTAAAAGTTTACTTAGGCAGGAAGCTTGTATACGTATGCGATTTCTTGAAGTTGCATAGTTACAACCGCCTTTTCTATTGGTGAGCAGCTCGTCTTGAATCTATTCACTCAAAATATTTTTTCTTCTTGATCTAAGCTGGTTTCTTTGCAGGACTTCTGAATTCCGGGCCTAGAGGAGCTCAGCCAGTTTGATTGAGATTCTGGGGTAATGTTCTATTTAAACAATTGAGTGTCAGGACTCGGAAACAAGTTGTCATGTCTAACTATAACTCATTTTGATTTTTTAGGTGTCCTTGGATCTTTGATTTCCATGGTCCTTGCGTTGTTTATGTTACCAAAGTCTGGAGCTGCAGTTTTCCCCCTTACTCTAAGGTGATAGAGACTTAGAGAGTGCTGAGCAGTTGAAGGTATGCATGGTCATTTAAATTTTTTGGGAATTGAAACAAAGTTAATTTAGGCTATGGGCGTGGATTTTAATGATAGCATGCATTTATTTGCTATATGGTAGTAGAGATACCGATAACAAGGATTCGAAGAAGGATGTGGATTGGTATGATTTGAATCTAGTATTGATTTCTTAATGTTTGTTGTCACTGTGCGGTTTGCCTCACCATCACCGAATGTGCGCATGATGCAGTTGAGATCATTCAATCTCATCAAATCTTTTTGCCCTCCTTTTAGGTGGTATGGGGTCGGGACCAGTTGGGTGCCTGCCCTTGCTTTCCAAATTCTAAGGTTGATTATTTCAGCAACTGAAAGCTACTTCCGTTGTTCAACCAACTTCATGAGCTACAACTTAAGGCATACGTGAACGTATTTGCTGGTGGTTCCTGTGTTACCTCAGGTTGTCTACTGGAGAAGTGAACCTGCATTCAACTCAAGGTAAAACACGCCATCAGAAGTCTTGCAAGTATATTGACTGGTATGGATGAAACCGGTACTCTTGAGACTTTCAGTTCTTAAATTTTACGAGGCGTGTAATAAAGCTTTCTGGTCGAAACATTAACTGGGCAAGCGCCCCTCGGTTAATTCTCGTATAATTTTATGCGTGTGGTTCTATCAGGTGCCGTGTTCGGTATTAATGGGTACCAATGGAAATGAAAATATAGGTTGTTGGAACTCTTTTGCCTTCATTATATTTGCAATCCTGATTGAGCATCTGCTGAGATTTGAAGATCTTCCTTTAGATGAAGGGGTTGCCCTCAAAGAAACTTGTGTGAATATCAACAGTGTGTGCAATCCTGATTACTGAGCCTGAACTTACATGCAATCAGGACGAATGGACGATAATATCGGATCAGATATTTTCTCGTCTCTTTGATAGACTTGGGATATTATAATTCCAACGTCTTAGTTGCATGTAAGTTTTTCCGAGGAACCATACCAATAATACTTGACCCGAAAAAAAACATAACAAACGAGAACATTATCCGATCAGATATCTGCTCCTCCTCCTTGATGTGAGAAGTGAACGCTTTGGAAATTAAATGAAGAGGGGGGATGGGTGGATCCCACCTGACACTTGATTGGTTGAACTTGAAACCTAGCCTACAGATCAGACAAAACTGACGATTGCGATGATGAGGTTCCATATGGGGGCGGGGCCTTCTGATCCCCATAATTGGAGGACCGCATGATGGTGAACAATCACATGACATGGAAATGCACTACCACACACGTAAGCCTTCACTCTCTCTCTCTCTCTCTCTCTCTCTCTCTCTCTCTTCTCTCTCTCTCTAAAACACACACAGAGGATCTCTCTTGCTCTCCAGTTCTTGCTATCCACTCTTTTCTTCTCCATCCAGATCGAGGTCCAGCCCAGACCGAAAGCAACCCCACATTGTTATATGCTTTTCGTGATCAACTTGTTTGCTGTTTTACAAACCCATTCCCCCAAAAGTGAGAAAAAACCACATGCAATATCAACATTTGGTTTCTTATCAGAATTTTTATGCACTCTCGTTCGATCAGAGGGAAAGGGATCCTCCTAATCCCTTCCATCAAATCCATCAATTTGGATCCTTGAAATTTAATTCAACGGCTAAAGTTATTATAACTTTTAAAAAAGACCTCTGTTTTTAACCGTTGGATCAAATTTTAAGGGCTCGGATTTGTGGATTTGGTGAAAGAGATCCGGAAAGGATCACTTTATAGATTAGAGAGGTCTAAGGAGGGAATAAATGGTCCCAATTTTAAAATTTTAAGTAAAGTTCATCTAAATGACATTCGAATGGGGCTGTTATACTCACACACCTGTCATATTTTCCACAATCACTTCATAATCAAAATAGAACAAATATATGAATATAGTAGATATTTGAAAGTTTTTCAATACTTCCTAACATTGAATGATACAGAAAATGAATGACTGAGATTGAAGATAAAAAATTTAAACAGCTATGAAAATCACATATAACAGCTAAATCTTATGTAACATTGGAGGTGATACGTGGCTCTCATTCAAACTACCATCTCTTAAGTTTTTACAGAAAAATGATATTTACATCAAATATTTTAATCGGAAATTTTCGTATTTTTGTACCACTGCACTGGTATTTCAGTTGGAGTTCATATGTCCACATTCTTAGTAGTAGCACTAGATATATTCTGCTTGATCATAGTTTTCTAAGTTATAGAAATTCCCTATGTACAATGTGTGCTCTTTACTAAAAACGGACACATCATCGATAGTGTCAATAATATGATTGATGTATGGACGCATTATTAATGACATATCAATAACTTGTATTTTATTTTATTTTATTTAAAAAAAGTCTAATTTCAGCCGGTTTACTTCAAAGTAAACCTTCAAACTCTGCTCCCTCTTTGCCTCAAAATGCTGCTGATGCTCATCCCCACCCTTATCATATTTGTGGACTTTGAGTCTACAGTGGTCGGTCGGGTAGATCAAAGGTCATTTGTAACCCTTTCATGATCTATCCAGAAAAGACGCAGGTTTGGCACGGGTACGAAGCTCCAACCCCATCTTCTACAAATCTCTTGCTGCGGCTTGTTCTTTCCCTCTTCCTTGGTTGCTGATGGTGGCATCGACAGTTCTTGCGTTAGAGGAGTAGTTGGGGTTTCCAGCGTTGTTATGTTGTTTTGGGACTAAATCCTTGCTTCGAGTCCCATATTTTGTTTCTTGACTGGTCCATATCTTCAACTTGTGCTTTAACTTTGTATTTGAACCTTTTACGTACGTTTGTTTATTTCATCATTTCCATCAAAAAGTACAAGGTTTCATAAACATAGGCAATGTCCTAACTTGAGTTGCATCAACTAGGCGATCACAGTACCTCCATAAAACCAATGTTACCCCTAATTTTCACCTGATTACAAACTTTTCTTGACACTTCTCTGTCAAGAAAATTGAACACATTTTCACACCAGTAATCAAATCACATCTCCCCTGACTTCACTCCCAGCAGTTGCCACTTTCCCCAGTTGGGGAAAATGTTGGTGCACTAAATAATGCACTCACATAATTCAAATGCTAAATTTGGCAGGACTGTTAGATATACCAAAAAATTCAACACCATCGTACTATATACATTTGCTAGTCTTTTCATAAAGCAAAACCACAACAAATATTGCTACACTATGACCCCACGATCCAGTGGTTATCTATCAATTTTCAGATTCTTTAGATCAATTATATTGTCAGTTTTCACACCTACACCTCTCAAATCTTGGCTCTCCACATAAAATCGAGAAGTAAATTATTTTTATACACTATTTTTAACTTTTTACACACCCAATGCTCGTCTTTGTTCGTTGATTTTCTTTGATTTATTCAGTCTAACGGGGAGAAATTGATTGGGGGGGGGGGGGTGTATGAGGAGACTAAGGGTGTTTGTAAATCACTTCCTATAATGAATTTTGTGATCTTTCAACCTTTTGCAATTCGTAAAAAATAAAACCAAAGAAAAGTATTGGAAAACTATAGTCCTTATATGAAAGATTCTCTCGTACAATCAAGATATGGTCTTAATGGCTTTACTCGTCCAATAAATGTTTGCTACATGTTTAAAAAGTAAACCACATGTCCAATACTTGATGGATTGACGACATGATAGTATTTCTTTAGTTATACGAACATTTTTTTTTATTAAATGACGAATTATTCGGAAGTAGATACAAGTTATCGATACATTTCAGTGCACGTCTATTCTTTACTAAAGGACGCCCTAAAAAATTGACCCTTGATTCAAGCATGTGAAAATCATGTACTGTAAAGTTATAAACTCTGTAATTTTGAAGAGTTTAAAATATAATATTTAGTTCCAAAATTTATACTGCAGTCTGCAGCTTTTCCCTTCTCTTGTTCCTTTTTCGGTCGAGCTTTCCCTTCTCTATTGGAAGGAGAAAGCGAATGAATTTTTACCCTTTTATGTGTGCGTGTCAGTTTGTGTGTCATTGGAAGCCAAAGCGGCAATACACATTTCGGGCTGGTTTGGTATTGCTGTGCTTTGAAAAAAAGCTGCTGCGAGAATAAGCAGCTGTGCTGTGAGAATAAACGGCTGTGAAATAAAGCAGCAGAGTGTTTGGTAAACTTTTTTGTAAAAGTGCTTTTGGAAAAAAATGCAGTCTGATAGTGAGTCTTTTCATTAAAGGAGCATTGTAGCTCGATGTGCTTTGAAAAAAAGCCAGTTTTCCAAAGCTGCAAATAGCAGCTTCAGCTTTTTCCTTTGATTTCAGCTTATTCTCACAGCAGGTTCCAAAATAAGCCATTTTTTTCAGTTTACCAAACACCTAAAACCCTCACAGCTTTTTTTCATGGGTGCTTTTTGTTTAAGCACCTCACTCCCAAACTAGGACTTCATATGCCATTGTCTTTTATTCGAGCGATATTATAATTTAATTGAAATTACAGTAGTATGATTTGAATTTGAGTATTTAGAGTCACGTTACTTTAGCCAACTTGTCCGCTTCCAAGCATGTCGAATACTGCCATGTTTAACTGGACGCACATATAGCAACTCAATTTAAACTACATTACCCAGAAACAGAAGCGCATTGTACAGATTTTGAAAGTTGCTCTGCCTGTTTTCATGCTTGCTTACTAATTCTAAAACTCAAACCCTCCAAAAAAAAATCTAAATTTAGAAGGAAGAAGGAAAAGCTCATTCCATATGATCTCCACCATGGAAGACTCACCGTACGGTTCGAGAAGGCGAGACGAGCCGGAGTTCAGCCTGAGAGAGTGGGCAGTGAAGGCCCGGATCAGCCGCGAAAACCTGAATTCCAGAAGGTTTTCAGCTTCCTATATTCCAAGCTTCAGAGAGGACACAAGGTCTTTCAGATCAAACATTACAATCTCCAGCACTGCTTCTTCCCCTGGCTATAACTCAAGAGGTACCCTTCTCTCTACTTCCCTCAAAACCCAAGTTCAAATCCACCATTTCTCATCAGTTCCTCCACTTTTTTCGCAGATGAAATCGACCCGGCAACGTACTCATTCACCACAGCTCTCAAAGGTACGAAATCATGATCGTGAAAACATGTTAATTCAATATTCAAATTATAACATATTGTTTCAGAAATTCTCTATGACGTTTGGTCTTTAGTAATTGTTTTTTAATAAAAAAAAAAAACGGACATCTATTCCATAACCAGACTAATAAACAATGTAGAAATTCTCATGTGCATAACGTCCCATCTTTACTATTGCCTTCTTTATTAAAAAACAGACGTCTGTTCCATAGCCGAACTAATATATAGGGTTTTGTATTGTTCTTGCAGCATTGCAGGCAAGGTCAGCTTATCATAGTTGGGAAGCGTTATCACCAGAAGGGTTTGTTTTGAATTCAAAGTGGAATGAAGCAGAGAAATACATAAGCAACCCTCTATCAGGGCAGGTTCCGATGGAGTGTTTATCTGCAAAAACACTTAGCGGAAGATCGTTTCGCAACGCAACGAATCGAATCACAATGTCTGCACCTCTTGTTTACTTCCCACACGAGACCAATCCATACAACCAACATTGCCAAGCCTTCTTTTAATCCTACAAAAGAAGATTTGGCTCCTCAATTTCCAGTTCCAGGTTAACCCACGTCATCTTGCTTCTTATTAATCATGTTTCACTCGCAAGCGAATGGTTTTTCGTGTTGAGAAATGATTTACGCACACCATTTCTTCTCCTTCAACTTTGTTTATTTCTGCTATTTGATTCTTCTTTGACTTATTCAGTCTAAAGGCCGGAAATAAACAGGAGTGTAAAAAATTACTCAAGTTCTCGTCATATGATACAAAATTTTCATTCGAAATCTGTTTTTCAATGCAGCAAAGAAAACAGAGGGCATGACTAGAGATGTTGGGACTCAAAGCACTCCTCATGATTTGAGTTCAAGTAGTAGTCCTAGCTCTACTTCAACCCCTCCGATCGTAGAGAGATCGTTAAATCGATTTCGAGGAGGAGATTCGTCTAGAACAAGTGCAAAATTAAAATCTGACTACGAGGTATGTTCTTGCTCATATTTAAGGGTAATTGTAACGAAATATGCACAAATAAAACCGATTTGTGTAACTGTTTTAAGATAAGACAGGAAGAACACTATCTATATAACGAGACACTAAATCGAATTATATACAATTTATTATCAGTTTAGTAACTTTTTCTTGTGTTTTTAATTAGCGATGTGTTTTGGAAGATAGGACAATTAAATGAAGGCTGCATTTTGTGGTTGGTGTCATAAAATTAAAGTATTCCCTTCAAGGTGGGGGACTAGCAGATTGAATTGGTCCCTCTTTGGTTTCGTGGCACATGCCCATCTTAGTACTGTTTCCTCGATATTTTCCCCCCAGGTGGCCCTGCTTTCTAGCGAAAAGGAATCATTTTTACCAAGGTCACAAATTCAAACATTTAAAATTTGATTCAACAGATATAAATAGGAACATACTTTAAAAATTATAATGACTTTAATCGTTGTATCAAATTTTAAAAGCCTAGATTTATTACCTTGATGGACTTGGTAGAAGGGATCCCTTTCCCTTTCCCTTTCCAGCACATAAACTCTCCTCGGAATATCATTTTGCCTCCAATAAATTGAAAATGTTGGGTAGGGTAAGCTGTCACAAAGTGTTGGACCGTGTGGATTAAGAGTTGTATTTATAACTGGTCCAAAAGTACTCAAATGCAGTTGGACTTGTTTCGTTTTAATAACGTCTGATCATTTAGCTGGCCAAGATGTTCTTAGTTTTCCACTTAGATTAAATGACAATATTTAAGCTATTCACGAACTATTATCTTATGAGGCAGTACATGATTGATTAGTAATATGACAGAGAGTTATCTCCAGTGTAAATAAGTTTATCTCGTGTCATAGAATAAGTTTCAAAACAATTGGCATGCCCACAATTGTGTTATTTTCTGACCACCTTCTTTTTGTTTTTGTGTGGAACCCTTAAGATTCTTCAATGCAAATGTTAAAAAGGATTCTTCACTTTTTCTCCTCCCTTTAATCCTTGGGGTTCTCAATGAAAGTGCCCCATCACTGGTATATTGGTTCATCTTTTTGGAAAAGATAGTCATGTGTTTCAGGGTTTGCTACTTGATGATTTTACCGTTTAAGTACACATTTGTTGCATCTTTGGACTAGGTGAGTCATGTCCTTTCAAACTTTTTGCTAGGGTTTGTAATCGTCAAATTGTACATGCTATGATGGAGATTATCGTTTCATGGTTTTTGGGACATGTGATCTAACATGGTACTTGGCTGCAGATAGTGGCACCAGTCTAGTCTAGCTCTTGATCCAATGTCACACTTCATTTCAAAATGATGGTCTCCGTCTAACCCCAAGCGAGCATATGCTTACATATAATCATGATATATTATGGTATTTCTATATCAATTATCACGTAAGTTAAGTGGTTAGGGAGATAGATAACTAAAGATTTTTCGATACACATACGTTTTTCTTCTAAAATGAACTTAGTTTTGCACCATCAAACTTTAGACCGAACACAAATTAGGACCGGCTCTTTATTTTACAGACGAGAAAAACTAGTTAGGTTAAAAGTGTTTCTTTTTTCATATATCTGAAGGCGCTTACATTATTTTATTTTACTTTCCTTATCAAATTACCAAACTTTTATAAGATGCAACTGAAAAACATATAAAATATTGCAGGTGGAAGTGAAAGATACAAAAGAAACAGAAAGCGAAAAAGAAGAGCAAAAGTGCAGGCAAGGTGGGTGCTTGTCATGGATGAGAAAAAGGTATAGAGAGAAACACAAACCAAAAAGCAAGAAGAATATCTTTCTTTCTCATCTGAATCTCAAAGCGTCCTGAGAAAATTAAATTATTATTAAGAGCTGAAATTATTAATATTGTAAAAAAAGAAAAAAGAGAAGTGAATATTTGTAGGTAAACGCAGAGATTTTCCGTGTCTCTTGAGAAATCTTTCGCAGAGAGGAAGAACAAAGAACAATCAATCAATGTATTATTATGTTTATGTTTTGTTAGTATTTTGGGTCAGTGATGATGTTAATGTTTTTGTTCTTGCTGTGTTCAAATTGGCCGACAGCTTTGGGCTTCACGTGCATGCTTTTTGTTTGTGTGCTTTGGAAAATGGTAGCTTGAGGAGCAACTATAAGATATTTAGGATTCAAAATATGGAAAACTAATGAAAAATATTTGAAAATTTTGAGTTTTAACTATAAGGACAAAATAAAGGGTAAAGTGAATGGTACCAGGTTGACTTTTTAGTGTAAAAATGTGATTTTTCGTTAAAGTGAACAGTACCGGAAGTTTTTTTGTTAAAGTTCTCTTCAAAATATTTTGAATATCTCAATCTTGGGTAACTAAAACATCAATCGTTTTTTAGTGCGGTTAACTGCAGTCAAGCTTATTAACGACATAACATCAATCATATCGATTGTATAGCAACAGTTCTACATTAAAGTATCAATAATAGTGACAACGAATTTGCGATATGTCCACATTTTGTAAGTAGTTAACCACATGTTAGACAACCACTAGTCCCACATGCTTAAGCTGTTAGAAATCGGGCAAACGAATGAAGAAGACTCACAATAGCCAAAAGGAGAAAACACGTGGCTTGAAGAAGTGGAAGATCTAAGCTTCAAGAAATTGAATTTGAAGCTTGCAGATGAGTACCAATGACTTCAAGTATTGCTCATCTTTCTGATACTTAAAAATTCTGTGTACAATAAAGCTTTTGCCAACTGAATATAAACAAAAGTTTTACAAGTAACAAAAGCTGTGTAATATGAAACTACACTACATAGCAGTATTTGATCAAACTGTAATACATTTTGTTTACAACGGTGATGCAGACGGTTTAGCGTTGGAGTTGGAAATAAGTCGGACTTCGTATAGATTATTTTCTCCCTTGCCTGCACCACGAAGTAAGCATTATTCATTGGTGAACCCCAGCTTTCTAATTTGACAAGTTCGAAAACTTTCACTAAAATTGAAGCATTTAGAAATAAAACTCACCAACTTCAGCTGTGATTCCTGGTCCGAAGAATGAAGCAAACTTGGCCTAGAAATGTCAGAATTTGGTCAATCAGTATGCAGAATCTTCTTCTCAAAATGCAAGGTCAAATAATTTCTTATGCCGGGAAGCACAAGCAAACTTGTAAACATGGTCTTCAAGAGAGTAAATCTAATTATAGATAAATGCGACTATTACCAAGTGAAGCGGGACTTGTAGACTCATAATTCTTTACCTGTCGTTGTTCAAAATCTGATAATTGCAGAGCTTTTGCCTCAAACACCAAGACTAATGAGTATCTACCATCTCCGGTGACCTATGAATATATGATCAAAATTTGTGATAGTATTAGTGATTGGGGATCAATGGTCGGTCACACTTTGGTATAAAGTAACTAAAAGCCTCACCGCAGTTTGAAGGGATTAAAACCTTAAGGATATTGCAAGATTCTTTAAAAAACAATTCAGAATCATATCATGTCATCAGTCTGCTCTTGTATGTGATATTTTAGGAAAGAATAAAATTCTACTTTCATAGAAATTCCCGAAAGAGTTTTACTTAATGGAAGGTAATAAAAAAGAGATTGCAAATGGTCACAGAAAAAAGTTTTATTTAGGGAAAGTAATCAAAAGTTTATGGCTTGCCAAGTGCAGGTGAGAAGTATACCTCTTCACGAATACTTTGGAGAGTAGGTGCACTCCTCCGAGCAATTCCTCCACCCTGAAAGGAAAACCAGGTAAATGAGAAGATGTTAAGCACAAAACAATGCATGAAGCGTATATTCCTAATAACAAGGCCCTCAGTGTAACTGTGCACTGAGCATAAGATTATCTACATCCAAAATTCTTTTAAAGGGGAAGTGTAGTGATGATAAGTTGCTTCCATGAAGGATGCGGAAGGCCAATCATTTCTTTCACTCTCGCAGAATATTCTGAAACAAATGAATAGATGTAATAGAGTTTTTGTATTTACACGCAAAGCGGACAACGCACCTGACCATACTGGAAGATTCGTTTCAATGCCTCATCCAAATGCTGCTCATCTCCATAGCGATACCTTGTAACATCATTCCTGACCTAATTCCATATATCGTATCATTCAGGTAAAACAACAAAAAAAACCACGGATTGCATGCATCAAATGTTCATAGAAATGATCAACTCTAACCATTTATGGACTTAGGACTAACCCCAAAGTTCGGAGGGGTTGATAATATTCCCCAACATCCTATTCTGTATTTTAAAGAAACTGATTCTCAAGCACACATTTTTACAATAAGATCCTTTTTCGATTACCTCGCCTACGTTCAATATTGTTATGATGAAGCACAAGAAGAAACTAAAAAAGTCATGCCTAAAACCTCAATCATCTCGATACATTACAGGACCATTTGTTGTCGAAAGTTTTTGAGGGTTTTTGAGGGTTGCTGCAATAAATTTGCCACACCATACATAAACCATTACAACATCTATCTTCTTAAATTACCACACCCTTATGTCAAGAATGAGCCAATTCAAGGTAATTACCTGGGTAAGGATCGGCGTGGCACTTGTTTCCCTTAATTGCAGGGCGTCCGAATAAGTCAAGCATGGCACCGGCTTTAGTTCAGCATACTGATATAACAAAGAAACCGAAATAACTATTTTGCAAATTGAAACACAAAATATTTCATGTCAAGAAATAAACAAAGCCAACGCTTATCTAAATAGAAGAGCAAGCAACTAGGTGTGAATTTGTTTGACAATCAAAACCAATGACCCGGACAGAAAGTGCGTGAAACCAAATCAACAACTACTAATCCGCATGGTCACCAGGACAACATTCGAAACTGGCAATACCCTGCATTATAAATTTGACACAAGATATTGGCTTTGGTAATTAGTTTTACCTTGAATGCCATACCAATGATTGCAAGAGGGAAGCCATATGTGAGCATCAATGCTGACCATTCAGACCCGGGAAGGATATTAAAGTACGCCCCGAAACCATACCTGTTCAAAATTCGTCACAAACACATAAATTAATAAAGGTCGTACCCAGTGCACAAGACTCCCGTTTTACGCAGGGTCTGGGAGAGATGAATGTCGGCTAGCCTTACCCCCATTTATGGAGAGGCTGCTCCCAAGTCTCGAACCCGAGACCTACCGCTCATGGGCGAAGACACTTGCCATCGCACCAAGTGCGACCTCTTACAAACACATAAATTAATCACGAAAAAAAATATGTAAGGATCAAAATATGCTTCAAAAATTTACAAACTTGATGCTGCGATAAAGTACTCACGACAAGAGTGAAACCCCAACACCAAGACCAATAACCCCAAATGAAACCTGCAAACATCAAACAAGGAAAACTACATGGTACAATCATAGAAGTCTGTATACATATTCATATCTATATTAACAGTATATAATATATTAGAAGCTCGAATATTTTCTGAAAACAGGCGCAAGATAAAATCGGTTACAAACTTTAAATAACAAAGTACATTCACTAAACAGACAATAAAGTGTCACTACACCGTTTTATATACGGTTCATTCTATGTTAAATACCCCACTAATTCTATTTGTTTTCAAAATTTGTAATCGGTTTTGTTAAAAAAAAAAAAATTGTAATCGGTTTTATTTGTGCATGTTTGATTTGGTGCCAATGTACATCGTTTTTTAAAAAGAGTAAAGCAGAGCAGATGGTACCTTAGCGAGGGAGAACTGGTCGTCGGGAACGATGGTTTTGCCGGCGGTGGAGATGGAGGGGAGGGTGGAAGGCTGGGTAGAGGAGTCGGCGGCTCTCGGGATGGCCAGTTTGGGCTTGGACTTCGAGAGTTGGCGGGCTCTGAATCCAATGGGATCCAGGTGGATGAGGAAGCTGGTGATGGGCCTTGATGATGATGAGGCCGTGTTATGTTCACGCAGGGAGAGAAAGCGGTGGCGGTTGACGTCATGGTGGCGGCAGAAGCTGCTGCTTCCTCTTGCAGTTGCAGTTGGAGTTGATAGTGCTTGCGTTGCCATTGGGTTCTCTCTCTCACTCTCCCCCCTTCCTCAAAGATTCAGACTTTGAGAGAGAAGCTCAGCAGTTTTGCTGGTTACTCCCAGCCGCCAAATTTCTGATTACGTGTCCTCATGTCATCCATTTTCTTTTGCTTTTTCAGATAAGTTGTAAAAATACTTTTAAGCTCATTTGACTACAAACTTAAATATACTTTTGAATAGAAAAGCAATTTTGAAGAATTATTCTGCCGAAGAAGAATGTGTTACGTGCATTTTTAAGAAGCACTTTTAATATATAGTTTATATTAATTTTTAAATAAAAGTGCATGTTCACTTATTACCAGTAAATCACGTTATTGATTGCCGTTCGATAAGCATCATCCCTTGAAGTTTAGTATTTTTCAAAAAAAATATATGAACTTAAGTATTTTATACGGCAAATTAGTCATGAACAAATGAAAAAAACTTCAAAGCCCTATCAAGAATTCGAGATAGATCAAGAGATAGGAAAATCATTTGTTCAAAAGCTGTTCTGAAATAACTTTGACAAAGCTCATCATATGACTTACATTTCCCATTACAAAATAATTATGATCCAACTATTCGGTACTGAGTACTACGGGGTTGTAGTATTTCTCACCATTTGTAAGTGAAAAATGTTACGTTTAAATATTGTAAATAGCGAGTTCAATACTTATTTATTCCTCACCTCTTTTATTTAAATATAGCGTCTTATAAAAAATAACTATTCAAAATTTCATAACCCCATTCTGAGGCAGCTCGCCGATTTTTCATGATCACTTCCCCTTTAAATCAGCAATGCCTAAAGAGCAAAATCCGGACTCGACCGGCTCTTTCATTTCAGCGCCACAAAGAACAAGTTTTCAACACAAGGAGCTCCATCCCATGGTCTGATATCTGTACAATACTCAAAGATAAAATTAGAACATCGAAATAACTACTGGAAAGATTGTATTTGGCACAGTTAAAACTAACCTTGAAGCAATATATCTTCACGAAAATCGCTTTTTGGTTTCCAGAAGGCATGGCCT